TTCAACAAGAAACATCCTGGACAGATTTCCACTTTTTAACAGATTAAGTTCATATTTTTGTCAACTTAAAACCTCACATGTAAAATTTTATTGCACATAGATGTACAGTAAAATGAAAATAAAAGTTATATTTGTAGTCTGCTCACTTTGATACCCCATTTTTAAAGGAAATAGCTACACTGCACAAGTATTTTTTTCATAACTGTTGTAATCATTTAATAATTTTTCTCATGATCTTCACCAAAGAGTTCTTAAAAAAAAAAAAAAAAGAACAGTATCAATTTAAAAAAAATCTAAACATAAACTTGTTGGTTGTTTCAGTGACGTTTGTTTGAATCTTCTCCCTGTTTTTTTTGCAGAAATAGTTTTTCACTGGGCTACAAATATAAAAAGGTTACATTGCATTAAGAAACGAATAATGTTTATCATGCAAATGCTATCCTATGGGTTAAGTAATAGTTTCAATAGTAATAGAAGGTCATAGTAAACCCACCAATAACTAGGCTATAGCACTGGATGTAAAGAGCTGAGGAGAGTTTCGAGCTTCTCAATTTGTGTCTGATAAGACAAATTAACAAGGTTTTCCATGCAGATTAATTACAGTATCCCTTTGGTTTATCCTTACATCTGTCATCTGTTTAATCTCTGATAATTTACCCTCATTAGTGGCTGTTCATCCTTCTGTCTCCCTTTCCAACTTCAACCTTTCTTCTGACTTTGTTTCATTTACATTGAGAGGAGCTTTTACATGGGAATCAGCAACTATTATCTTTCATGTTTATTTAACCCACAGGTCCAATAAAGCATGTTTTGTTCTGGTGGTTAATGAGTATGAGTAAGCCATTGCCTGCCCTTTCTGGCTCTGTTATGGAAATATCACTAATGGGAGATCAGAGGGAGCCAGTTCGGACGCACGCTGAGAAGACACCTGAATTGCTGCTAAAATACAGGACCGCAGTCAGAGGAATCAAGCATCTCTAATTTGTATCATTAAAAGGCTCAAACTTAGCTTGACTTCTAGCATTTCTTTTCTGTCAAACCACATAAATCATGACTCAGTGACATTAAAAGTCACAGAGGCCCTCAGGATTTCTAAATCTAAAAGTAAAATTTAATCATCATGGCCTATTAGAACACAATTTGAATAATTAGAAAGAAAAGTTTCGGTTGTCTAAGATTAAAAATTGCTTCTTTTTTTGGTCTTTAGAGTCTTCACATCAGTGCATTTTGGATTATTCTTTGTAATTTTAAATTGGTTTGTACCACATTTAGACATGATTGATTATGGGGTGTCCTATTTCAAGTCTAACCTAGCAGTAGCCAGATTGATATGTGTAGAACTGAGTTAAATTCTACTTTATCAATCTGGGATGGCTGCAGTTCAGTCTCTCTGTGAAAAGGAGGGACATTTAGTATAATACTTTGAGATGATTGGGTGACGTTCCAGCTAGCACCCGCCTCTCATAATATGCTTTCAGCCAATTGTGACGTTTCAACGGAGTAAGCTGATAAATCTAAATTTTTTCCAAATCCTGTCAGAAGAAAAGCATAGACATCTTTCCCATCTATAAATGCACAAAGTGCTTCTCTGTGCTCCTTTTTTTTTCAATGAGCAATTGTCACTATTTTAGCTACAACCGAGTCATTTGTGGTATTGACAGGTGAGTCCTCCAGTGTAGCTGGGTATTTATTCCCCTTTTGACTGTCGTCATTCCTACCGGCCCCGCCTAAAAAAACACTGCTTGGATCTCATTGGTTTGATCCGCTGGTGATTACGAGATGGACGTATTGGCTGGAGTCTTTCAACATTGATTTGTTGTGAGACTAAAAATTCAGATGCTGCGACAAACCAGATTGCAGCAGAAGCTTAGCTGAAGTCTGGAATTTAATCTATTCAAGATGTGCTGAAATGACCATAAACAGACAATTAATGCTTAAAACCCCCAAATTTTCCCTTTAATTAAAATTCTTCTCTACATAGGAGTGGCCCATAAAGACCTCAACAGTGGTATAAAATCGTGTTGTAGGGCATAACAGGACTGCATAATATATCAAAGCTTTATAGTAATTGAGATAACGACTGTGCAATAGGCATACGCTCAAAACTATGCAAATGGCAATAAATGGCAGGCTTAAATGTAGACATTTATGCTGTATATTAATGCTTTGTAAATCACAGGGAAGCTTGAAGTATTTGACCAAACAAATTATGGATCTGTTCACATTAGATGCAGTGGATGGATAGCAAATAGTTGAACTCAAAGTTGAGAGAGGGTTGCAATGGGAAGAGCAAGGCATATTGAAGAAAATGTAAGTAACAAATAAGTCGTGGTTAGAAAAAAGAGCATGTCTTTTAGTTTGGGGGCACAAGACAGACAGGAAGACAGAATTGTAACTAGGAGAGGGAAACACAAATAATATCCATTATTACCTGGTAAGTTACAACAGTAAGTGCTATTAAAATCATAGTTTGTTTTTTTATATAATAAATTAATAATAAATTAATCAAAGAGAAAATATTAGAACTTAGTTCAAAGAAGTCTCTTAAAAAAAAACCAAAAATAAAGTTAAGGCAACAAAAAAGTTTCAACAAAAAGGTCAAGCCGGTTTTTTTCTAAGTTTTATCAACTCACTCTATCAGGGGTATTGGCTTAGTAGTTAGAGCATAGAGTTTGGAATCCTGAGGTTCTAAGTTTGAACCCCACTCCCACAGACTTCCACTCTGGCTCTCTGAGCAAAGACCCTTAACCCCAAACTGTTCGCCAGGTGCTGCACCATGGCAGCCCACTGCTCCCAAGGGGAGGGGATAAATGCAGAGAGTAAATTTTGTAGCATTGTATTAACATTTAAAAAGAAAAAAAAAAAACTTTCTGCAATAACTCTAACTTTAACTTTGGTAAAATATTTTGTCAAATAATATACACATGTTTAAAAATATAATATAATATAAAATGAATTGAATTAAAGACAATGCTACCTATTTGAATTCAGCTCGTCGCAGTTCTGTCAGATCAGCATACTTTAGTAGTAAAAAACCTGTGTGCGGAAATTGAAATTTGGTTACATTTTGTTTTTATGTTTAAAATCATAAAAAACATTGGCTGTGGTTTATATATATATTGAGTCTGAATTAATTTAGGTTGGACAAAATCCTAAGTGTATGCTGATCTGACAGTGTATGGTGTTCTGACAGAGCACCAGTAAAAGGACTGGAGAGTGGAGACATTTCTATGGGATATTTCGGTAAGCACCTTTACAAAAGTTTGAGCTGAAGTTAACTAACTTTAGCCACCTGATAAAGAAATGTTTTTGTGCAATTTATGCCAACTTGGTTAAGAGATTCCTTGAGATAATCCCTTTTGTATAAATTAGTTTTGTCTTTATTATAAATGTAAGGACTTCAATCTTTCCTTCCTGTCACCTTTTAGGAATCCAAATTTCTATGAGTAGATGTAGGTAAATTGTTGGCCTTGTGGAAATGGTGATTGTCTAATCTGTTTTCTAAGGCAAAAAAAGCTTTGTGGGGCTAACCTATAAAGCTTGGAACTTAATGCTAAGTGTGTTTCATATGTGAATGGGGGTGCTCTTCGTTTGGAGACACACAGTTGTGCAAAAGAAAAGACATAGGCACCCCACTGTTATAGAACAATAAAAAATCCCTTTATGAATCCCTCAGTCCCTCAGTGTTCTTTTTTTGGTTTGCTTTAGTTTGCATGTTTTGTTTTTTTGTTTGTCTTTTTTTAATTGGACAGCTACAGAAGACAGAAATAACTCCAAATAAAGGTTGTCCTTTTATCATATGTCCTTGATAAGCACTGTAAAAATTAGTAGGTTTCAAAGAGACAATAGTTTTTTGTTTACCTTTGCCCAGAAAACAGGGAGGACAGAAGGATGAAAAATGGAAAAAAAAAACATCAGAGGAGAAATACGTTATGGTCTTCATCTGCTCTATCTTTTTTGTTATTGTGTGGTTGTAGAGATGAACAGTTTACTGAGCATTGCACCATGTCTGTATGATACTCTGTCTACAGTTTGGACAAGGGGTCTTCAATGTTTTCCAGGCCAAGGACCCCCAAACTCTGATGGCGGGATGGAGCAGGGACCCCCTAATTATATATATTGTATGAAATTGTGTTATATCAAACTGGTCCTATAGTCACTCCATTACACATGGGGCAATGTAATGATTGTAATTTCGCCCTGGGATTATTAAAGTATTTCTGATTCTGATTCCTCATTGATGGGACAGATGTTGTGAATGAAACGGTGCCCAGCTTGAAAGAGCTCCTGAGTGTCGCCGAATGTGTGCATTGATGACTGAAAGACATCTTCTGCCTCCATTTATCTGTTTAATACAGTGTGTTGAATTCATGTTAATGTGTATTTAAAGACATTTCACGTAGTGGAAAAAATTGCTCGGGGGAATATAAAAAAAAAAAACCCATGCAGTACCCCCCCTTGTTGAAGACCTCCGATCTAGACCCAGTGATTTAGGCCGTAATCTTCTCAGGGCTAAGAAGTAAGCAGTGGTTTATTTATTTCTAGCAAACAATGCCAAATGCCATCAAGTGGATTTTTATCATACTTAAACTGCACAATAAAATGGTTCCAAACCATTGATTTTACTATGCGTCTTATGTCTTGTGCAAATAGATCACTAAAGCATCTTAACTTTAATACATTTCAAAGACAAAGACAAGAAAAGGAGAAATAAAATTGCTGTTGTGATTTAAAACAATTAATTCTTAATAGGACCTTGAGGGTGAGGAATATGCTCTATTTGGTTTTTAAAAAGCAAATAAAATGCTTGAAGAAAACATAAATTACGAAACATTAATATCCAGCATATTGTCCTGGCTATATTTACATGCAGGCAATAAAGTAAAAATTACATGTAAATACATGACAAAAAACCCTTAGAGAGATGCATTTTACTCTGATGCAAATATTTTTTTATTCTGCTTGTGGTTATGGGATTCCTGCTGTCTCCTTTGTCTTACCTTCTTTGTTTTGTCCATTGCTTTCAGTATGGACATATTAAGCTCCTCCAGGGCTGCAAGAACATTCTCATATTCGCCAAGGTGCTGCGAGAAGTACTCTACAGAGCAAGAGGAAAATAGAGATAAAGGCAGAAATGGAAAAGAGTTTTTAGGCCCTCTGGGGTTTGGTCACAGCAATCAAAATGTCAAATAGCATTCCAGTGTTTCTCTGAGAGGAAAGTGACAGTGCAGCTTCAGCTTACCACAGAGTTCATCCGTGTCCACATTGCTGCAAAAAAAAAAAAAAAAAAACATAGAAAAGAAAGATTTAAATGCAATGATTCCTAAAACACAAGAAAAAAACAAGGTGAGGACTTATGATTTTTTTTTTTAAACCAGTCCACAAAACTCTTTTTCAGGAAGACCTTTATCTCATGAGTCAATTATATTATGACAACTTGAAAAGAACAAGTCAGGTTTTAAATATTTGATTTTCTTTTTATCAACTAGATTTGCAAAAATCGAGAACACTTTCAAATTCCGCTTGCCTATTAGGATAATTTCTCAAAACGTTCTGAAAGTAATACATCAGTAAGAAATGAAGTAAAAACATGAGTGATTGTTACATGTAATGTTAGCACTTTGGATACTTAAAAGACTCATAAAAGGATTTGGTTTTAACTGTGACAGAAACTGAGCAGGTTGGTTCGCCTAAACTCTGCTCAACAGAGGTTGTAGCTGTTTTTCACATGGGAAAAAGCTGCAGAGATAAACTATCCGAACAAGAGAAAACACTTAAAGATGTAGAGGGCAGCTGAGAACAAGAGAAGTTAGACTTAAAAGTGCATGATAGATCGCCAAGTTCTTTCTGATGTGTCCTTGTTAGACTTCAAATATACGAATGAATGGTATAGTACTAATGTACTGAATAAAGCAGCATAAAAGACCGAAAAAAAAAAAAAAAATATAAATAGAAGCAAATATTGTTGCACACTAGGCTAAGGAGCCTTGTCATCTCAAGGACTTTAAAGCTTTGGTGACTCGTTCTCTAATCAATACACGACCGAGTCTGAAAGCTCTAAATGGGTTTTTAACAACTTTACTATCTGCCTGTTTCAGCTTCTAATTAAAAGAGATTTGGACACATTGACCTTGAGCTTAACATTAATTAAAAAAAGACATTAAACATTACATTCTTTCTTTTTATAAACTCAATATAAAACAATAAAATACAATATAATATAATGAGATCATTAATATAATCCAAATCGTATCTATGTATTGATGTAATTAGTTATTAAACTGTATTTGAATATATGTGTGTGTTTGTGCAATGGCATATATACTGTATATTTTTGTTTTTATTGGTATACTATGTGGTACGTTTGGTGAATGTTTTCAATGCATAATGAGTAAAGATTTGTTAACACCTGAGCATACATGGATAATGTTTCTTAGTTGAACTAACTACACAATTCAGAGTTCCAGTAAGGGGACTACCATTTATTACCAAACAGAATTTTTGGGAGCAATTTAAGGTTTCTCATGCATATACTGCAGAGGAAAAAAAGGTTGAACAGAACCAAAATTTGACCTCACCTTTTTTCAAACAGCAATAATAAATAAAACTCCCTCTGCACTTTATTCAATTAATAACCTGACACTACTGCAAGGTATACATAGACACCTGGGAACTTTCTATTTTCAAGCTTTACAATATAGAAAATTAAATTACTTTCAAAAATTTTTCATTTACTGCTTTTAAAGTATAACCACACATGTATTTATACACTGCAAGTCAAAAGTGTGGACACTTTAAGACTGATGGAAGACCATTTTAACTGAATCTAAGTACATTTTATGAGGCTCACAAAAAATACATGCAAAGTATGAAAAAAAAAACATTGAGGGTATTTTGGAGAATCGAAAATATGAAGGATGCTACGTCATTTTAAAATGTTATTTGTTACATTATCTTACATACTTTGTATAGTTTTGATTCCTTCGTATGTATCCACAATACAGAAAGTAATACAAATAAGGTAAAGTAATTGATTACAGAGATTTGTCCTCGCCTTTGATAGTGTTCAAGTATGGATAAATGTAACAAAAAACATAAGGTTATAATTATTCATCTTTAAAAGGAACAAATACATATTCCCGCTCTTTTTGAATATACTAAAAAATATTGAGACATTTATATATTAAGTGCTTAATTCGTTAACTAATTATTCCTGCTGGTGTCAATGATATTGGGCTTTGAGCTTGAAGCCTCAATCTTTTTACAACCTGTTTTACCAAGTATCTTATTGTAAAGTACACAATTTCATTGACAGTCAAATTTATAATAATGAAAGTATAAACACTTAATGAAGATATGGCAGTTAAAATAAAAGCATTTTTTTTTTCAATTAAAACACTTGAGTTGTGAGTGAAGTATGGATATATCTCATATGTTTATATCCGCCACAACCATGTTGTTTTCGAGAGTTATCTCATGAACACTGTAGGGATCTTGGCAGTAGAAAGGCTATCTACCGAGTATCTCAGTGTGAGGTACATTACACTAAGTCCCAATCCCAATACACCCTCTAGCCTTATTTTTTAGCCCTATCCATAACTTGTTCTTCCCATGAGGGTAGTACTGTCCCAATTCTTACTTGCACGTAGGAGTAGTGGACATAAGAAGGGGTAGGGGGGGTATAAATCTAGCTCATAAAAGTAAGTAATTTCAGTTGCTGACTTGCAGGAGAAGGGCTGGAGACAATTTGACAGAAAACATGGAGGAAAAGTTTTTGCGGTGGGACTTGCAGTTTTTGTTGTTGTTTTTTTTACTTTTAAAAGTCAAACAAAGCTTTTAGTGTAGGCATCCTGGGTTAATCTGATTCTTCTGGACAACAAGGGCTAGGCAAGACGTTGCCTTGGTGTTCACACAGGAGCAGCAGGAAATCAGTTCTAGAACACCAGCAGAGAGAGCACCAGAAATGGAAAGAGGCTGCCTGCCCCTCCCCTATCAGGAGATATGGCACCACAGTGGGAGATGGGAGGAATTAGTGCACCAGAGAGGGGAGAGAAGGGAGTTTCTTGCCGCTGCTAGCTCAGGAGGAGAACGGGGAAACCTCTCCCCCTCTGGTAGTGAAAGGAAACAGCAGGTAGGGAGCTAATAAGTAGACTCAATGTTGGAGTGGAGCCTTTTGCCAAGGTTACAAACTGCTCTAGCTGGACAGGCGGATTTTCAGGTGAGAAAAGGCAGATAAAACTGACAAAATGTATTAATTTGAGGTGAAGTTTTATTTGGTAGGAATAAAACTTTATAGTCCTTGCTTTATTTAGACTATGTAGGACTAAGAAGACAAGTCAAACTCTTGACTGGATATTAGTGCAACAACATCATTGCATCACTTCACTGGGGCCCAGTGTTGCCATTAAGCCCGGTTTATACTACCCTTTTGAAGCCTTACCAAGAATTGTCCGAGCCATGATAACCAAGATAACCACTAAGTGTAAATGGAACACAACTGAACTGGACCATGCCAAACACAACCGAACCCTGATAAATCTAGTACTATCTTAACAGTAGGGCTCGGCACAGTTCGGTTGTGGCTCACTTCTCTGATAACAAAGAGTGCATGCCATGAGCAGACCGCATCATCTCCTATTTACGATCAGCTGACTCAAATCTTTTCACCTGTTCACAACATCAAAAGAGCGTGGAACAACCTGGGATGATGCAGATACCGAGGCTCTTAATGAAATTAGATTCATGTATTTAGACCTTGGACAATAGTATCCAGATTCCATGTGTGGCCGTGAGGAGACACTGTAGGTGTCTTGGCTCTGGAAAGGCTATCTCTTGAATATCTCAGTGTGAGGTATAAAGTGAGACTGATCCCTGGGATGGAGAAGCCTTTTTCCTAAAGACAGCCAATGCATTTGATTATTATGGTACAGGACCTCACTGTAAATGCAGAAGGCTTAGGAGACAATCTGAATGATGGAACCAGAAACAGCTGCATTGAATACAGACAATGTGGGGAGAACAAACACAACCAGTCTGTCATCAGGGTTGTAGGAGACTGCTAGATCCCTCTTTTGTTTTGGAGAAATTTTATGTGCAAAGCCTATTATTTGTCATTTTTGTGTTAAACTCTCTATTTTTGCTTAATCTTTTGTAAATAAAACCCTTCATGTATATTTACAATAACAACAGATGCATGATACTGCTCATGTCTGCAGGAGGAGTATCCTACTGCGGAGTAGTAGGATACTCAAGAAGAAGACTACTGCGGCCAAGCTCTTAGCAGCTCCTAGCAAAGTGTGGAACTCACAAAGAAAAGTCACAGATCGATTGTTGGAAAAAAAACACAAAAAAATGTTACATTCTTAGCAAAAGAAAAAAACTCTGAAAGAGATAAATTATTTCAGTGACTGCATAATACAATCAATGGCAACATGCCCAGATTGCTTTCAAATGAATATTTTGAACATAATAAATCTAGTTACTCATATTTTGTTTAATTAAAAAACTAACAGTAAAGTCAACAGGTGAAAAATTTGCTCAATTAATATACCACCTTTTCAGTTGTGCTGTGTTTCTCCTTTTATAATAAAAATAACAACTTTTTTACCAATGTGAAATATTTATTTATTAATTTAATGTTGCACGGTTGTAACTGAACAGTTTGATGTAAAAGATTAGACCAGATAAAATTAAAAGTAAGGTTACTTGACTTAAAATTGTTTATTTTTACCTAATTACTAACAATCCGCTGCTTGTTTAACACTTTTCCTAGATTTTCAGTGTGTTTTACAAGAGACTGATGAGATGTCTTAAAATGCATGTGAAGCTTAGGAATAGGTGTTCCTAAGCTTCAATTCCATAGGTGTAGTTTGTCACAAATAAAATAACAGACAGCCTACCAACCTATTAATCAGAAACCATTTCAGAACACATTATATATTGATAACGCTTTCATGTGTTTTGGGCCTTTAAAGGGGAAAATCAATATAAAATCAAACAGAGAGACAGTGTAGTGAAGGCAAGCCTTTTACTCTTGGAGAACCATTGTTAAATTTATAGGAGTCAGCACCACAAGTTCTCTGCAGTCTGCCATTATTATTGACAAAATGTCAACAAAAACAATGTACATAACAATAATGTCCACTGTGGGTATTAAATTGGTTGGCAGCCTTATTTGTGTGTCTGTACATTTATTTCTGCTCTTTTTTTTTTTACACTGGGCATGTGTCAGGGCTACCCCTTTAAAACGATTTCAATTTTCCTGTCTACATTTTCACAATGTGCCACAATGTGACAGAGAAAACGTGCACAACTGCATGTAAATAAACCATAGAAACATAATAATGGTTTTCTATTTTCCTCCAAAAAAGACATGCAAATTGAGTTATAGTAAAAAGGCCAAAGTATGGGCAGGGTTGGTCTCCTGACAGGAGCTCCCTACATATAAACACCATAAATGTTACATGGAATTTTGTTATATCACTTTGTGTGAAGTAATATCCTACAGCACACAGTAACTAACATGAAATGGATGAAAGACACATGAAAAGTGATGCATTTTCCTTCACTTTCTATATTTGTTCACCTAGAAAAAGACAAGATTAAAATGAGCATTGTATACAACTGTCTGCGCTAAGGTTGTCACCCAGTTTCTATGTCTGAGATTGATTTGATGTTAACCACAAAATGGTTCTGGAGTTTGTTTGTTTTTTATTGATGCAGTTGCCTGAGTGCAACACACACCCATGGTTAGGAAAAAAAAAAAAAAAACGCTGGCATGAAAAGAATGCAATTCTGTAATTTTCCATTAAACGAGCCAAACCAGCAGCATGGAGTTAGCAGCCAAGCATCCACCTATTTTTTAACCTGTTCTATTTAAAACTATACAGTAATGTGTTCTTGGTACAAAACAATAAAAGTGCTATTTCATAGATATATTTTGACACAACGAAACCAAACACCGCTTGGAGCTTGGAGCCCATATGCAGAAAGGCAGAATGCTAAGTGAGTAGAATTTTACTTTAAAAGAAAAGCAACTTAAATCTAGATCTTAGGTAAAACACTGGTGTGGCACAGCATTGCACAACAGACACCCCAATCAGTATTCACCAGTGAAGGGTGAAAGCAAACTGGCAGTAGTAAGTAATAGAGGACAACTCAAAACAAAGGCTGATAACAGGAAAACTTCATTTAAAACAACAAGATTACAGCAGCTCAACCGGAACAGAACAATTACTCTCACAAGACAAGAAAATAACATAAACATGACTAAACTAAAATAGAACTTTTGGGAGGATCCTTAAAATAATATGAACTAAAGCGAAAGCATAAAAAGCCCTTAGAAATAAAAACAAGGAAAGATGACCTATATGCCTGATACACTCAGTCACACATTGATAAAACAGTCAATATAGTTACCTTAGTTAGTTTGCATTTGAAAGTATATATTTTAGTTATCTAGACCTTAAATGCATTTAACCTTATAATGAAATTATGACGTGTGCACATGTGTTAATTTCAAATGTGCTCTGATTATTAATTTTCATATATTTTATTTGTTATTTGGTTTGGGAAGTTGGCTTCTTCCTGTTTGAATAAGAGGTATTGCCAAGGGTGAAGGGCTTTGGGAGCACAATGCAATCTCAGCAGAGACCACTGGCTTGTCATCAAGGTGACATTGAGATCTTTTGGCCTCTTGCTATTATGGATTCTCTGTCCTCCCTATGGCGTTTAGATGGTTTTGCCAAATTTATTATATAAAGAACCCATCTGTGCATTGTGTTTTGTCAGTATTAAGTTAAGCCGTGTACACTTTGTTAGCTCAGCACAATGTTCTGTAAGTCTTTTAAGTAGTTATATTAGGTTGACCTTGTTAAATAGCCTGTTACACAATATTTTTTAACTTTATTTTTTTTTCAAACTTTTGAGTGGAATAAAAGACCCATTCTGAAGACATTTTTCTAATGTTCTCTGTGCCCTAAACGCTTGGTCCCTGATGATCTCCCAAATAAGCAAACTAATAACATG